ACAGGATGGTCGAAACGTCGGCAACTCAGCCTTCGACGCGGCGTCACCCGGACATCCCAGATCACCCTTTAAATATCTGTCAGGCGCGCAGCGCGTAGATTAAACCTTCATAATTTCTAAACTAAAAGACATAAAAATATAATGTTTTCACTGAAATTAAGATCAATATACACACTTTTCAAACAAATAAAAACAAAAATTCGATTTTTCGAAACCTGATAACTGTAACTACCCCCTTAAGCCAAGAGGTTGTTGTTACAGTCAGTCTAGGGCAACAAAAGCTTTTTCTGACAGATTCTAAAACAGTTGAGCATTACTGAAGACTGCATTGATCTGCAGATTGTAGTGCACTAACTAATAAAGACTTGGCAGTTGTCCATTCAGTGAGTGCTGTTAGAAGTTAAGAGTTAATTTTCCAAAGTGATTGAGTTTGTTCTGTTGTTGTCTCTAATAAGAGTATTGTAAGAATTGATACAAATCATGTCAAAGAGGATGAGAAAATATGAATTTTGAAGTGCGTATGAAAACATAAAGGAATAAAAACGTGATAGATACACGAGAGTGTATGAATTATCTACTAGAGAAATTACAAGTGAAACCATAAATGTTGATAGTAAATGGACTTAATACCACAGAGCCCTTTCATCACACATTCAATAAACTCTCAATATACCAATTTTTTATAAAAAATATTAATCCAAGTAAATAATGTTTCTTTAACAGATGTGATAAATTGTTCATTTTTTAAATTCTAGCCAAATAAATAAGTTGTTTTCGTGTGAATATTCACCAACTAGTTGAATGACAAAATATAAACTGTATCACAGGCTTCAGCACAAGCTTGCCAATGTTTTTTAAAGTAATATACATCACTTCCATGCGTTACTCACCATCCAGGCTCCTTCCCAATTAGGTGGGCATTCTAGTGTCAAATAACTGGCAAGCTTGATCATGCAACTGGACCAAGTATATAGATTATTCATGTGAAATATAGAAATGTAGCAATTACATTACTTATTCTACATAGCTAATAAATCAAATTAAGAAGCAAGGATTGAGATTTGTAAGCATATGTAAATACTGAAAGGAATTGATTTTTCAAAAAGGTGCTACCCCAGCGGATTCATGAGTGGGCCTTGACACCGTGTGTAGCTGAGGAAAGCAACAAGCGTGCTTTGGAGAGTGTGCGCAAAAGCCAGCTGGAAGTGCGTCGTATTCTTCAAGATCTGGACAAACGCCACAGGGTGAGTTGCATACATATTTATGAGGAGTAAAATGTGAAGTTGAAAAAAGGTTTTCAGAATCGAACTTGTAAATTTAGAATGTTATTGAATTTGTGGATATGTCAATTCATCCTCAAGAGTTTTACCCCATAAAATGCAAGAAGTCGTACAACGATAAAATTACTGTAGCACTGAAATAATGTAATTCATTAATAACTTTATGTAGTGTATTAATTTGTGAAATTGGCCTTTTTTGTTATTGAAATTAATTACTAATTAATTAACTTGATGGGCATACTCAAGCTCACAATCTAATAATTTAATGAATAATAGTTAAGATGTATATTTGAAGATTTAAAATAAATTGCAAATATTCATTACCAATTGAACAAAAATTTTTCAAAAATGTTTAATTGTGTTTATTAACTTGTATTTATGTGCTGCCAACAAGGTATCACATAATAAACAAATTTCTGTCAGATGCCTACATAATGGTTGTGTTGACCTGTAGCAATGTTGCATAATATTTTTTATTGATAATATGCATTTTTGTACTTGTAAACCAAATTTCAAAACATAAATGTTTATGACACCTTATAATGTGACTATGGAACAGAAAATTTTTCATGAATGCCAAACTGAGAAAATCACTCCATTATTTTGAAACTCAAGTGAGGTACCAGCATTTTTCATTTTTTTCTTATACAACCCTATTTTGAGTATGCTAGACAGTGTTCATTGGAAGAGCATGGATCAAAATTACTAAAAGAAAACTTAATGATGATTGGTGGAGTGTTTTAGAATTAGACTAACACAAGCGTACACAGCTTAAAACTACCATTTTGGGCTCCCTCTTTCATTAAACTTTATTAATGATATACGACAGTATTTATCTAGAAAATAAATAAAATATACTACAAGCAGAATGAAATGACAACTTGAATTATAAAATTAATAAATACAGATTTTACTGTATTACTTTTTTAAATTTCTTCCATGTTACTTATGTTGAATAGAGAAAGAATTGTAAAGTTGTGGCAAAAACAGTGATTTTTCAATAGAAAAAATTGAATTGCAAGTCCCTAATACTGAAAAAGTAGATAAATCTTATTTGAAAATGTAGTAAATTACATCCCTTAACATGTTATGTGGTCAGAATTCTTGTTTTGAGGATTCTGACCAACTAGTGCAAAATGTCTGACTGTCCATCCGTATACCAATGGCTGAACTAGCAGGATTTTCACCAGAACAGAACTTCCCTGAGGGATGTGGCTGATATTCAGCCCCTTGCATTGAAAATGGATATTTTGAGTTTGGTGGAAACTTTTTCAAAATGTTTTCTAAAATATCTCCAAATTTTGTGTTTAATTTTTTTCTCTGATAGAGAAAGAAACAAACAAAAAGTAAATATGGTGCATATCTCACTTTTGTTGAATTCTCAGAATTTATAAAATTGCAAAGGTTCAAATTTTTTGGGATCTTTCTACAAATACAGAGATTTGTTTCCATTGAAATAAGTTCTTCAAAGTTCGAACTTTATATAATGATTGGTGAGATTGCTGAAAAGTTAATTGGATAAAATTTGCAATATTATAATATTAATATTACATATCCATGACTGATATAATGATAAAGAATGTTGCTCTTATACCTTTTTTGAAAATTGGTCTATTAGCTATTTTCTTGTAATTGAAATTCCGTTTATCTCAGATCAAAATAGTTTAAAACTTCTTAAAAATTATCTGCTAACTGACTTCAAATGATTCATGGTTGTATCTCATCATTGTATCTTTTTGTATCATTGTAACTTCTGTTCTACTATGTATGAATTTGGTGATTGCGTGTTAAATAAGAATTATTATTAATATGATGTCAGTGGCATAGTTCATATCAGGTTACAATACAAAAATGGCAGCATTGTGGCATGGTTACTTAACATGCTTGTAATGACTTGACATGCTTGTAATTCATAGAATTGTAAGGAGATACTGTTTTTTGCTGTATACAATGCTATTTTAGATTGTTGATGTGTTGGCATTAAGAGAATTTGTGTTGACACTTCATGTGCTACAATTGGTAATGAAATCTACAAATGATGGTTGAGATATATTAATATTGTCAGAAAGTGTGGTATTATAATATTATGTAACTGTTACGAATGTGAGAAAGTACTTGGTAGCTGATGGAGCACCACTAGTTTTATTTTACTGCAGAAATAAATGACCCCATATTCTTTCAAGTCAGAACTTCCGAATTTATTTGAGTGCCTGCTACAGAAGTTTTTATGTATTTTCTATTAGGAACCTTATATTTGGCACTGAGGAGCTAATTTTGTGGTACAAATGAACTTGTGTAGTGTGTAACTATATCAGAACTACAGATCAATTGTTACCAGTTAACTCTTGAAATATCCTGATAATATTATTAACTGTTTTGTATTTTCCAAATAATTGCAATGATTTTAACTAAAGCAAGTATTTCAGTTTTAAGTTGTTTATCTGCATCTATTACATATTTTGTGGAGACCATAAGTCATATTTTTTGTGTGTGATTTTCATTAAGATAAATGTATTTATAATCAATGTAGCAAACATTCTAGGTTGATCAATTTTGAAAAAAATCCATGTGCAGTTTATGTAATTTTATGTTTTAGTGAGTTTAGCCTGTACAAGCAAAGGGCAACATTTACAATCTTAGAATTCAAATATAAAACATCTTAATAAACAGATACTTGTTAAAAATGCAGTTAATTAATTTATTAGTTTGTACACAATCGTAAGTAAAAAGGATTTATGAAATTTAACTTGAAATTGGTAATGAAATTGTTGGAGAGCACGTAGCAAGTCTTCTTCTGAAACATTAAAATAGTTTTCAAGTGTTAAACTTTATAATTAAAATTCTTGATTCACAGGAGTTGGACCTGAGTGTAGAAAGAGCGAAGACTGCGCAAGTGGATGCGCGTGCAGAAGAGGAGGCTGAAGAGGAAGGGGAAATGAGCATGTACTGTATCACTTGTGGTCATGAAATTCATTCTCGAATGGCCATTAAACACATGGAGAAGTGTTTCAATAAGGTAAAAGATTTATTTCTTGAAAATTCAAATAGTCAATTAAAATTACATTTGAAACTCAAGTCTCAAATTCAAAAGTGTTTTGATAAGTGTAACATGTAGGCTCTTGTGAAATCCTTTTTTGGAGAAAGTCGTAGAATATAAATGTGAACCTGTCACATTAAAAATCAACCGTATTAATTTTCCTATAATGTAGCATATTTCATTTCTTTTTAGTATGAAAGTCAGTCGTCATTTGGATCTATTTACAAAACTCGTATTGAAGGAAACAACATGTTCTGTGATTACTACAATCCCGCTAATCGCACATACTGCAAACGATTGCGAGTTTTGTGTCCTGAGCATTGCAAGGATCCTAAAGTCAGTGACACAGAGGTAAGAGATGGACGAGATGCTCTTTACTTACATTCAATGTACCTGGCAGTTGAAATATTGTAATTTAAACAAACCATCTCTTCAACTAACCATATATTTTTTGACAAAGTGACATAAATTTGTTATTTGTAGGTTTGTGGATGTCCATTGGTGACTAATGTATTTGATACAACAAATGAATTTTGCCGTGCTCCTAAAAAGAGCTGCCTTAAGCATTATAGATGGGAGAAACTAAGAAGGGCTGAAATTGATATGGAACGTGTACGCCAGGTAAGATGATAATTTTTTTTAAATGATTAAAAAATATTAAATACGACATAAAAAGGATAAGTTTTTATGCTGTTGTTTTTGTTGGTGTTTGTGAGAAAATTCGAAGTTTTATGTTAAGAGGTTTATTTTGAGTTGGAGGTTCTGTAAGAGTTTTCAGATTTATTTCGCTCATATAAAACATTACTTTGAACCTGAAACTTTTCTGTTTCTTTGTAGTGGTTGAAAATAGATGAACTCATAGAACAGGAACGACAAATACGTCATTTGATGGCGAGTCGGGCAGGTGTGTTAGCTTTAATGTTACATTCCACATACAACCATGATCTCATGGAACAAATGACTTCAGCCCAAGATCAAGAACAATTTGCTGCAATGGAAGAAGAAATGCAGCGCCAATACCAGCAGTAAAAGAATGTTAAAAAACAATAATAATTTAAAAAATCAATCACAAGTATGTGTGGGATACAGCTTAGAAAAAGCTGTTTTGTATTGGAAATGAGTGAATTAAATACTCAATATAAGTGTAATAGTTTAGTTTCCTTAGGTTAATAAAATTTGTTATCCAAATTTCTTGTATTACTATCGTTATGATTATAGCCCGGAAGGTTAAGGTACTTTATCAAGCAGTCAAAAAAAGAATTTATATTTACTAAAATAGACTCGCAAAAAGGCATTTATTCTGGCTAAAATAGGGGTGCAAAAAGGCATGTAAAAAGTAAAATATCACATTTAAAAGGAATTGTAAAAGATTACTAATTAAAATGATTGACTTTTTTAACCTAACTGAAAAATTTACATTAAGCACTTACGTGTAAGGAACCAATCTTTTCTTTGTAATCATTCCACATGATCACCTGGTATGGTGACTACGAATTTGTTTTACTTGCAAAGTGTCTCTTTGAAATGATATTATAGATCTCCCTTTTGAATCTTGAAAATGGCGTCATTTATATTGTTTGCGCTTGTATGATTGCCACCACTGAGAAGGGTAAGGGAGAGCTCTGCTGTCACGGGGGATCAGCAGGAGAGGTGGCTCAGGGCATTAAGTGATGTCACTGCTGTGCCTCTAACCGGGAGGTTATAGATTGGAGTCTCAATGATGGCAGGATTTTTGACACTGACGTGACAGCTAGGTCTAATTCAGCTGCTGTCAGGAGGAGAATTGTGGCAGCTAACTGCTCTATTTGGTAGTTTTCCATGGTTTCTCCGATCAACATCTGGTGAATGCTGGAGCAGTGCCCTTACAAATGGGCCATAATCTTTCCTTCCTTTTCCTTGTCTTATTCTCACCCCTTACTTCTGTTACATACACTACATTACCGCATGTGGGTTTTGTGGTATAACAGCTAGCGTGCGGGCTGTTGTACTCAAGTTTGCGGGTTCAAATCTGTGCAAAGCTGTGGAGTTTTTAGGGTGAAAACATAATCCTGTCTATAGATTTATTACACGTAAAAGATCGTCAAGCCTAAAAGAAACCTCTGAGCTAAATTCAGTATTGCTTGTTTCGTTTGCAAAGTGATACCTACTTTCTTTGTTAGATGGTAAAAGGAGTGTAGTGCAATTTGGTTGGTCAGATGGAAGAGCGGGCCTGATGGCTCGAGTCTCACTACGTAAAATAAGACATTAACTAACGCATGTCAGGAGATCAGTCAGGAACATAGAATTTGTCTGTCTGAGGCAGTGTGATGCTGGTGGGAGATATTTGGTTGGGGAAATCCCTGCAAGCCAAAGTAGATCAGTTCCAGATCTCACCAGCCATTACAGTAAGATCATTGCTACCTTCTATGATGAAAACCAGCTCTTCTCTTAAGGGACAAACCGGCACTTAAGTGTAGGACGGGATTCCTTGTGAGCGAACAAAGCCTGTTGGCATCAATGAAAGTATCAAAAATCTTGACTGGTATTATCATGGTTTTTCATTTAGATTTTTAACACTGTGAACCTGTAGCCCCTACTTCCAGAGAAAGACAAAACACAGCCATGCATGTGTGTTGTCCAGGCTTAGAGGTATGTTCCAATTTGATTAAGATCGGTAGTAGGAGAAAATATAATGACAAAAAATATTAAAATTACCCAAAATTCTAAAACTAGGCAAAAAAGCAAAATGAAAGTATGAGAGCAAAGGCTTCTACATCTGTAGCTGCTCAGCTTTCTGGGACACAACACATTCTAGGCACAGGTGCCAAAGTTGATGCCGCGTTCTGGGCACCAGGACAGCCAAGCAGCAAAATGAATATCTATGAAAACAAGTCCCAAAAAAGTACAGTGATTCCTAGTACTAAAAATGATAAAATTGTAATAATAACAAAAATGCATTTTACCAAACTTTCAGACTCTGGTTTTGATGACTTTTTACCTGCAAAATCTTCCTTTTGTTACTGACAATTTTATTTTCATTATCAGATTATTAATACTTTTATTATGGGATAATTCAATATTTTTAAGTCTTTATAACACCACATTTTGAATGATTTTGGCTTTGAATATTCACGTTATAAAGTAAAAATATTTGTCTGTATCCATGGGTTTGTTTTTACCCTCACCCTTACTTTGTAAGAAGAGAAAGTATTGTAATTGTGTGCCACAATAAGGCGAATTTTCGTCAGAAAACTCTTATTGCTGGACCCTGGCAACGAAATAGGGATAAAGCGTGTACCTGTATCATACAATACATTTCTTCCTCTAACACGTGGTGTAGTCAGAATCCATATTTATGGCACCTTGGTACCAAAAAAATCAATTGACGGCAAAATGTCAGTCCATTTGTCTGTTGTCAAAGCTAGCGCGTAAAGCGCTCAGCCGTTTTTCTCCAAAGGATATTCTGATTTTTGAGAGTATTTTACATGGAGCCTCGAAAGCATTTTCAAAATTTTCATAAAAAATAGCTCCAAATTTTGTGATTAAGCTTTGTCCTTGGATAGTGTAAATGGTTCTCAAGTAAATTGTGCAGATCTCAATTTCATTAAAATCTCTGATTTTTCGAAAATTGCAAATGTTAATTTTTCAAAAATATGAGAAGTTTTTGTGTAAATTTTCTGAAAATATAGATAATTTTTAATTTTTTAAAACAATTTTTTTCTCCCATAAAGTATCAAATTTTCTCCTCAGATGTATCAAAGGACGATAAAAAAATGATGCTAGTCCCATTTTTGGCTAACTCTCCATATTTTCAAAAATTTGTAAAATCAGTTATAAAGAAGGTCATGTACAATTTTTTGAGTGAATGAGTAGTTTACGCATAATTTCTGGTTGAAATTAATGCAAATTATAAAAAGAATGTTTTCTCAACAAGCTCTCCAATTTTTTTTCTTAGAATAAAACAAGAGATGCTTAAAAGAATGGTGTAGGCCTTGTTTTTGTCTATCTTTCTGAACTTCTTAAAATTGCATGTTGTAAATATTGGTTGAGACTATTTGATTTTTAAGCGTTGGCCAGATTTTGACTATCACTGTAGTGTTGCGATGTAGAGGTGAGGCTCAGGGGGACTTGAGGGACCTGTGTTCACGGGGGAAAAAAATGTTTTTGGAAATGTTTTGCAAATTTATGTACAATATAGTAATATAATTAGTATATGTAGTTCATGTGTACAAAGTAGAATAATATTTAGTAGCAGTTACAAATAATGGAAGGAAGTATGTGCTGTCATAGCACCACTAGTTTTTGTTTTCTCTATTTTGGGATGAGTATTATACTTTTGAAGAGTACATGAAATTGAAAATGAGTAATGGCCTAACAATGAATTTTTCACATTATTAATTAATTATTTTTTAAATGTATCACAAAAAGAAACTCAAAATCACAAATTTCTCTGTGAATTTTAAATCAAAATTACAGGAAATTTTCATACAATGTATTAAATTAATTAATTCCATTCCTTCAATATTTAGAAAACACATTTATTTCATAAGAAACAAGAAACAACAAAATATAATTACAACTGACATTAAAACAAAATGTACATATATTTCATTCAACATTATTTGATCATTCGATTTATTTAGTATTGATTTCTGCCTTCTCATTCACATTTCATTCTTGCATAATATTTTTTTATCAAAAATAAAACTTTTTTAAAGCACCAGAAATGTCAATATTACCAGCACAAAGGCTGGTAAGATTGCATGAGGAATACTGAACTGTAAAAGGCATTTAATCATAAAACCAGCCTCCAAAATAAGTCAGTCAAGGAGGCTAACGTATTGCGAAAGCAATCATTTGAAGTAAGGGAAGTAACTCGGAGTCGTGTCACACACCCAAACTTTCTTCAATGCTTCGGAGTTCTTAAGCAGATATCAGCGGTCGGACGACTAGCAACCATAATCTGCACACACTCGGAACGCCAAGGACGTGTGACTTGTGACAAGGACGAGTGTTTCGAAGTTGAGCACGAGGTCTACTCTCCGGGTTCATAGGCGGATTTCCAGATGTCTGCCAGGCAGACGGACGAGTGGAACCGGTAGAACATGGTTAGCGGCAGAGTCATGTGGCTGATGATGGTCCAGAGCACCTTGCCGTACACGTCGTAGCGGTCGTCGATCTTGTCGTGCGACTTGATCTCGAAAGTCTCGGTGATCCACAGGGCCACGTTACACACCACGAGGAAGGTGACGAGCTCGCGGCCCGGCTTCTCCTGGCGCAGCGCGCGCTCGTTGCTGCAGCGCCGCAGGCCGTCGATGATGAACGGCGTCTGGATCAGCACCTGCACCACCTGCGCGCGACGTTCGGAACGCGCGTTCAAGTACAAATGATACTTAATAACAATTAATAATGGGTAGCCCTGGCGCTATGATAATGCAATGGTAATAATAGGAAATAATAACTAAAGTTTATAATGCTATTTAATCGTTTTTTGACAATAATTATATTACGTTCGCAGAAAAGATACAGTTATGTGCCATATTTAGTTTTTTTGATTTACGAAAATTGGTCCAACTAAAAATAGAAGTTGCCAAGTGTTTGTCCTCTATTTTTGTTTGCTTTTTTTACTATTTTGTTCCTGAGATACCTTAAGTGTTCCGGAAATCAAGCCCCTATGCTCACAATGTGCAAGTCCTTGTTTACATGTACTGGGGTTTATACAGGTTCAGAATAAGAATTCATGTTCATTCAGAATAAATGTTACAAACTTTTCCGGCACGTAGAAGGATTGAAGATTACCACTTTTTGCCTATTGACATGTCAATTGGAAATTTCAATACATAACGTTACACAAATGCCAATTGTCTCTTATTTTTAGGCAACTCCCCATGCTATTCCGAGGCAAAACACTATATCGGTTGGGCAAAAACACACCCCATTTTGAAAAAATCATTTCACGAGTAATATAAAAATAACTTCAAGATGCATATCAAGGGTGGATCGCAAGGGAGTTTCAAGGGAGTAAAATTTCAGTTCGGGTCTTCTCCATACTTATATTCAAAAACATAAACAAAATTTGTTAGCTTAATGTGTAGTCAGAGTGGGAATACTGCTTTGGAATGCGATGTAATTAATGTTATAAAGCCAATTACCCTGAATGCAAATGTATCTTCAAATTAATTTCTCCCCATAGCACATCACACACAGTTTTTAACTGTTTTGATGTATGTAAATAAATAAATAAATAAATGAAAGATTCTTCGAGGAACAAAATGAGTAAAATTCTAAAAAAGTCAGATTTGACAGGTGGGGGAAGAGTGCTTCCATCCTCCCTGAATCGCCACTGATGCAAAGGAGTACGGAGTTTTTAACAATTCATAATGTGGTTTTTCTAAGAATAAAAGCGTTGATAACTATCTAGTAACATTATTATAATCAATTGATTTTTATCCTCAAACATTTTAAATCAATTAAAATTTTTGTGCTCTTTGGTAAAAACTTGTACTTTTGAGCAAACATTTCGAAATTCACATTACACTTTTAATTTACAATTTTTGTCAGGGCTAAGAAAGGGTTTCTTGCAAGGTACTGGATCTCACTATTTTAGATAGAAGGAAAATCGGGACGGACTAAGGTAATATGGTTTGGACGTGATGGGGCTGATCAGATAATAGGACTTACCTGGAGTAATATCGTTGTTAGAGAGAGGAAGTTACTCCTCTGCACCGCGGGAACAATGCTGAATATTGCATACAGAAAGAAGGCAGGGATGCATATGAACAAAAGCAGATCATCCAGCAACGAGATGGGATGTTTATTGATGTCCAGTCTAGTCATCTGACGATAGGCGAATATCACAGAGAACGTCATGAGAACCAGTAGGATCAATTCGGAAGCTGTGTTCACTGTCAGGCCGATATCTTCGTATGTCCTGGTGTAAAGAAGGAATCCAATGAAGAATAAACAAAGTCTTGGAATAAATGTTACAAAAGCGGGCATGCAAACCCGTCCCCGAGAATTCAAATTTTTTATGTTCGAATTATCTGTTCATTCACGACAGAAGTTTAAAACTGGAAAAATACCTGCAAAAATACTGCTGGACAAAAGCACTTAAAATGGTGGAACACCACTCCAGAACAATAAATACAACACTCTCGTATCACACTGCAATAAATTAAATATTTTAAAACAAACTTTATGAATAGTGAATTAATATAGTGTATACGGATACTCAGCATAACAGTTGTTTGTTTACCAAGACTATTAAAAAAGTTGCTGTTCCTTAACGCAACAGGCGAACAGCCAATATATAATAGTGGATGGCCTTTCCTTGACGCGTTGCTCTCATGAAGTCGCCTGTGTCGAACTTTCGATTAGGAAGAAATTACCGTTTATGGCGATACTTTTGGGATTTTCTAAAAAACTAAGCTTGTAATCGAAAAATGGGTATCACCAGTGAATTCGCCGTGAAATTTCGTGCTAGGTCCGGGGTTTTCAGAAAAATCCATGACATGTCGAAAATCGGAAAATTTCGTCGATCCATGAATCAACGAAACTTAACATTGTTTAACACAAAAATTAAACCATATTTTACAAACTATGTAACATAAATAAATTCTAGAAACACGGATGTGTTTCTAAATTCTTGTAGTTTTAGGAAATGTAATATTTTGTCATATAATGATGAGAATTGTGGCCTCCAGGAATCTTAAATTGAAATTGAATGTTAGAAATTGAATCTTAAATTGACGTTGTATGTAAATTACTCTTTTATTTTCAGTTTTAAATGAGGTTTCTCCTTAAATCAGAACTTGCTTGAAATGGAAATATTCTACACTGCTGTATGGAAAAAACTGACGTTTATGGCGATACTTTTGCGAATTTCTAAAAAAACTAAGCTTAAAATCGAAAAATGGGTATCACCAGTGAATTCGCCTTGAAATTTCGTGCTAGGTATTTTGTTTTCAGAAAAATCCGTGACATGTCGAAAATGGGAGAATTTTGTCGATCGACGAAACTTTACATTTTTTAACAGAAAAATTAAACTAGCTTATTTTACAAACAATGTAACATAAATCATTTCTAGAGACACGGATGTGTATCTAAAAATTTGTAGTTTTAGAATGCCGTCATTTGTCATATACTGATAAGAATAATGGCCTTTTGGATCCTGAAATTGAAAGCGTTTTTTTTTTTTCGCATCTTGCAAATTCGCAAAAGTACGCAAAAAAACTAAGCTTCAAATTGAATAATAGGTATCACCAGTGAATTTGCCATGAAATTTCGTGCTAGGTCCGTGATTTGAGAAAGTCCGTGAATAGTTGAAAATTTGAAACTTTCGTCGATCATGGATCGACGAAACTTTACATTTTTAATACAAACTTTAAACCAGCATATTTCAAAAATTATGTAACATGAATCGATTCTAAATAATTGGATGTTTCTAAATTCTTGTAATGTCTGAAAATGTTATTTGTCATGTAGGGATGAGAAATGTGTCGTCTAGGAACCTGAAATTGACAGCCTTGTATTTTCGCATGTTGCCAGCTCTCAAAATAATAGGAAACTTCAAATGGCGCTATCTCCTTAACTATCCAAGCTACGGTATTGAAATTTGCATAAGGAATTCTATGTTTTTTATTCGGTTATTTGAGTCGTAAATGGAGTTTTTCCTTTAATCAGAACCTGCTTGAAATGGAAATTTTCTACACTGCTACTTGGTGGAAATTGACGTTTATGGCGATACTTTTGCGATTTTCTAAAAACTTAGCTTCAAATCGGAAAACGGGTATCACCAGTAAATTTGCCATGAACTTTTGTGTTAGGTCCGTGGTTTTCAGAAAAATCCGTGAAGGTCGAAAATTGGAAAATATCGACGAAACTTTATATTTTTAACACAAAAATTAAATCAACATGTTTCACAAACTATGTAACATAAATCGATTGTAGAGGCACGGATGTCATTCTAAATTCTTGTAATTTCAGAAAATGTCGTCATTATTCATATACGGATGAGAAATGTGGCATCTAAGAACCTTAAATTGAAAGCCGTGTTTTTTGCCTGCTGCAAATTCTGAAAAGAAGAGTAAATTGCAAATAGCTTTATCTCCTAATCTATTCTAGCTACATCACTGAAATTCGCCCACGAGATTGTATGTTCCTTACAATTTAATATGAGTCTTAAATGGAGTTTTTCTTTAAATGAGAACCTGCTTGAAATGGAAATTTTCTACACTGCTATTTTAAGAAATTGAGGTTTTTTGCGATACTTTTGCGATTTTCTAAAAAACTAAGCTGTGTCGTGCTTGATATGACCATTCACTCGTTATGCGTAGTATGAAAATAGGCGGAGTAACGCAATATTTGCCATTCCTAGTCAAAATCGAAACTGTTTCATAGTTTTTGTACTTTTAGATTTCTAACGAAACTATTGAAACCTATCACGTGACCGGAACCAGCACATATTTATTTCAATACGTTTTTGTGCGCAATGAAAATTACTTAAAGAGATGATTTTGTATTTTCTCCGATTTAACTATTAAACCCTTGAAATTTCTCAAAAGACCAGAGGCTACATAGTTTTCTTTCAATTTCTGCGCGAATTGGAAATAAGTAATATAGATATTAACCTAGAATATGAAAATTACAAAACATTAAATTATGTAATAATCATTTCAATGGTTTCTATTTCTTGGAAAGTCTTCGACGTGTTCTACAACTTTAAATCAATAAGTCAGTCACCTACAGTAGGGCACTTTGAAGCAACCTTTTCGTTACATTTTCAGGTTAGCAATGTAAGGAGTCACGGCGTGATTAATATCTTAGGGGCCCTAAACTACACAAACAACATGCGCTCTTAATAATATTGACATACTTGTTACGATATGAAAATATAATTTTTTTTTACGAATTGGAACGAACTCTTGGAAAGAACAATTGAGGGATGTAGCGTCGGTTACCATGGTCGTAAGTTTGTTGAGGGAGACTGAATCACGTTAGCGAGAATGGACGCTAGAGTGTAGACCGGGATTATTAATGTGCAATTTTGATTTTAAAACCTAATTAAAAGCGACTTCAGGATGTTGGAAGTTTGGTGAAAGTTTGGGGAAGGTATTTCAAATTAATCGCTGGTTCTATGGTATGGGACAAGATATCCGTGGAAGCGGAGAAGTTAACATTTACCGATTGATTATGGATTTATAATTTCATCAGCAATGTTTGCTTGTGTTTGAACTGAACGGCTCTTAATAAATTACCTCAAAAGAGAGTCCGACAGACAGCGACGTTTGGTGAGAGGCAATACATCGGCAACTGGATTTATTGACAATCGCGGGCATTCACGGGTGCATACGCTTTGAGAAGGCTGTTTAGTAGATTCGTAACAATACTGAACATACGTATCCAAGTGAAAACGAACATACGACAAAAGTTGCAATTAAAAAGTAATATTGCAATGTTTGGAATATTTATGAACCAATATAAAATGTTGCTTAAAGAGCACATGGAGCCTGTCAACGAGGGTCGTAAGGAAGTGTTAGTCTGTAGATGTATACTTTCAGCCGTAGGGAGATCACCGCTATAATGCTCCACGCGAGCGTTCACTCACTTATGATATAAAAATTGAAGGATAACCGAATAACACACATTCGCAAGTTTATTGTATTCCTACTTTCTAATGCAGAGAACTAACGTTTCGTATTTCTCCTCAGATTGTCTTCGTAAACGTTTTAAACAATGTTTAAAAACAAAACAAATAAATTCGTTTTATTTCATTGCGATGTTTTAAAGTTATAAATTTTCTCTCTGTTTTGGGAAGTGAGAATAAAAGCAAACTTGTGTTATTCGTTCATGACTGTGACCTATTATTGTTTTACCTTAACAGAAAGTTTCTCAAAATAAATGTTACAAACTTCTAGGACATGAAGACAGGTCGAAGATGATCACTTTATTCCAATTAACATGTGGTGGGAAATTTCATATACTAAAGAAGTTATACACTTGCCCCTTATTGAAAGGTAACCCGTCATCCGTTGGTGTTTGGCAGATAACGTTCTGAAATAATGAAACAGATATCGTATCATTAGAGACTTCAATGCATGATGTTGTCTACCATTCCGGGGAAGTGCAACTCCGTTATATGAATTTTCTCTCGTGGTCGTAGGCAAAACGTGATTATTTTGTCCCTTGCATGCCCTCAGTGTTTGTAAAATTTGTTCCGAGACACCCACTTGTGTGTAGGGATAGATGTTAGGCAGACGAAAGGGCTCACTTGTTGGTCATGACGATGAAGAAGAGGATGATGCTGACGACGGACCCGACGAGGATGATGATGCCGGCGAAGAGCCCCTTGTTCGCCGAGTGGCAGTCTGCGTGGATGACCAGGTTGCTGTTCTCGGGGCTGACGGGCAACGCGCAGTGCCCGCCGTGCTCCCCGCTGCAGCGGCCGATGTTCTGCCAGATGATGTACAGGATGCCCACTGCGCACGAGAGAAGAAGCCAAGGGCTCGGATGCTACTTGAGCTAGGGAGGCGCCTCTGGCGGGTACATTCTACTTCAACATTTTTATTTTTGCTATACGCGATCACAATAAAATGAAATTTGGCATCATCAGGCGTAGAAAGTTACATAAAAAAGTATGGATATAAATATTTTTTTTCCATTTATATTTCATATCTACATTAGGCTTAATTGTTGTGAATCTTGAATCAAAACGGAATAATTCATATTATTCCAGAAAGGCACTTTAATAATGCGAACTGTTCAATCACTCTAGAAGCCATGCTATTCGCATATTTTCTATAATGTTTCCAGATTATTCTTGAAGGATTACGCTATTAATAGTATCAATCAATTCATCTGAGGATTCGTCGTTGATGGGGTTCGAATGAGCTTTGATTACCTCGGAGATTCATTTGCCGCCCCAAAACTAGTTTTAGAAGCTTAGTAATCCCCCTCCAAACCGATAATGATCTTGGAATGTTCTGTAAAGAATCGAAGAATGTTCAGCTTCCCCCAGTTGAACGAGACGCATCGAATGTCTCCTCAATTGCTTCGAGTATTGGACCGGCAGAAACTCCGCACAGACGAACACAAGTGGGTTTCCTGATTGCTGTACTTGTTTATGGTCTATATTTAAAAGTTAATGAAGGATGACCGATAATTAATCAATTGTCAATCAGATTTTTACACATAACTCTTTGAGAAATCTTTGTGGTTCTCTTCCTTGAATGAAACAAGTTTGTTTGGCAGATTTAGAAGTTCATTTAGGTTGGCCAGTGAGCGTCTACGGTCTATAAATTCCAATAGGCGAGTAGTAGAAATGCCTCACCGATGAGGATGCTGTACTCGATGGTGAAGGGGTAGAGGTAGGGGGAGAAGTCCTCGTAGATGACCGTCATCTGGCTGGACGCCTCGCAGTTCTCGGAGAAAGTCATTCCGCGCGTGTTGTTGACGTAGGCGATGAGCTCCTGCGCGCCTCCTGCGGACGCAAGGCGACACCCTCTAGAGCACAGGCCGTCTCCTGGACAGTCTGGTAGACACTAAATGCACTTAAAAATCATTAATTATTTTTGTACTTGAAATAATGAAATACTGGGTACAGGAAAATGGACGAATTGTAATTCAACGTGTAAATAAATAAAATAAATTAAGGTTCAAAGATCCATCAACTTCTAAGTTCATTGTAGCCCACGAGTGTTAATCTCATGAGTAGGTAGTAGCGAAAATCTGGTGAGGTGAATGATGATGAAGATATGCTAGAATGAGGAGTAGGGTAAATGGGTGCACCCGCATAAAAATTTCCACGAACCCTCTCTGTTCGCAACAACTTCCACGTGGAACGGCTGGGATGTGAATCCAGTGAAGATAAGCAGCCTCACCACTACCCTACGAGTTGTCCCGGTTCGTTTACCCCTAAAAGGCTCTGGTGGCGCTAAGGCAGTTGAGAGGTCGGGGATGATTGCGTGCCTGTGCGCAGACTTGCGGAGGCCGGGTGCGGGGGTAGGGCCAAAGCTCGCTGCAGCGCTTACGCGAGTCGCCGTTGACACACGAGCATCTCTTCTCTACGAAGCGAAGGTCTTGCGGAAGGACTTATGCGAGGAATATTAAATGCTAATGAAAAATGCTGAAGACTATGGTGGGAAAGTATTGTGGCAGTAATTGAAAATTATAAGCAAATAAAAATTGCCTACAGTTCGTATGCGCCGGTAAACAAAACTCAAAATTTGAAAGTAGGAGGTAAAGCTTATAATGGTACATAAAAATGCTTGGCACGAAAATTTAAAAATATAATTGAAATATGTAAATATCTTATGAGACATGTAGGGTATATAATACGCACGCCTCTGGTACGACGTGAGCGGCAGAGCCATGTACTCCACTTCGGAGGCCTTGTACGCGCTGGCAGAGGCCGGCTCCTCCTTATTCTTGTTGTACTTGTTCAGCTGATCCATCGTCTCACGCAGGATGGTCCAGAACCAGAAGCACACGGACGACGCCATGCAGTGCATCAGGGCGAAGCGGCCCAGGTCCTGGCAGCGGTTAATTATCACCTAAACAGAGACATGCCCCCTTTGCAATGGTAGGGTTCCAATTAATTGATTTCGAAGTTTCATTAATTGAGTATTCCGCCATCTCTCCACCCTTCAGTAGTGATTTTTACAGTAGCTTGTTGTCCACACATTGCAGCACGAGTACGTTTTACTTGTAGCAGAAGACAAACAGAACCTTGCCACACGTACAACATATATTGTTTGATTTTGTCAGTTAGAACCCTGTCATTCCGAAGGGTCGATAATTAGGCCCCATATTGCACCAAAACTTAAAATATTTTCAAAATCGAATCTAATTGATTTTAATGGGCGATTAAAGTCAATTAGATTTATTTGTTTCACTGAATATTTATCATATTGTAGTAAACTAAACACTTTAAAAATCCTCAACTTTCAACTTGAAGGACAATTGCAGAGCAAGAATATAAAATTAAGGATCAGCTTATGGAGGTTCGACTATTTAAGTCAGAAATGAAAACAATTTTATTTCCCTGAAGGAATTAAATGCACATTGAGGCCAAATATAAAGTACTGATTCCAATTATCAATATTATGCAAAAATAATAAAGTTGTTTTTAGCGGTTGGATTTGTTTTCGGTCAAAAAACACAAGTACGAACAATTATGAAAAAAAAACACTATTGGATGTGGATGCGCACTGCCTGACAAAAAAAGTGTTGCGCCCAGGAGTGGCCCGATATTATTCCGTTTCGATATAAATGCGTACCATTGATGTGTGAGGAAATGATTAGAGTCGCACGTATTTGTAAAGTGAGGAACGCAGTTGTTATCAATGAAGTGCTGTGTGTCAGACAGTGAAGAACGCCCTTTATGTGCAGAAGGAAGCACCTGCGATGCCGCGCGATGGCCGACAGCATATCCACTAACTCACTGCATTTGTGGGACTTCGTGAGGCTGGTTGGTCGTATTGTGCAATTTCCGGGCTTGTGGGCCATTGAGAGGTCACAGTGGCCCGACGTTGGAATGAATGGGTACATAAGGCACCCATACACGTCGTGCCAACTCAGGTCGACCAAGAAGCACAACCCCGAGGGAAGATGGTCGTGGGGTGCGCCATGCGCCGGCGGCTGCATCATGTTCAGTGATGAGACCCTCTTCGCCATAGCCTCCGACGACCATCGAGTGGCGGCGTCAAGGGCTGAGGGCACATCCTGCCCAAATACGGAGAGACACAGACGTAACCCCGGGCATTATGGTGTGGGGAGCAGACGTCGGCACAGACAGTCTGCGTCCGCACGTCCTACCCCTTAAAGCATAGCACCCTGGGACAGCATTCCAACAAGATAATGCACGTGGGACTATGGACTTCGTAGAGCATGTTGAGGTCCTCCCGTGGCCCAAGACCTCCGGACCTCTCCTCCGTTGAGCACGTGTGAGAGGCCACTGGGAGGGCTCCGTCGCAGCACCAACCTGCAGGGTCTGCATTGCAGCCACAGGAGGTGCGACACCCTTCTCACCTGGCGCCCATTTTACACGTGTAACTGCCAACACCTTTGTCTCATTAATTGTGTATTGTAATCGCTTCCATAACGTCGCATGGTCTCTCACCATATGTAGTTTCTTTCGCTCCTAACCACTCCTGGGTGCATTTTTTTGTCATGAAGTGTACTATATCAACATTATGAGGAAGTCAATTTCAATTTTGCAATCCTACACGTCGTGAATTTGAACTAGAATCCTATGGGGCTACTCGTAAGTAAATTCAGTTCAGGATTCATTACTTTCTGAAGTGAGAACGTTATAAATACTCAGTAAAGCATACTCACATTAGAATACTTGAAAATGAAGAAGAGCTGAAAGAAGGAGAATACGGGGTAGATGACGTCGAGAATGAGAGTGGGGACGCTGGCGCAGTTGTAGAAGTCGTCTGTCTCCGAAGTGAGGAAGACGATCTGATAGCCCATCAGCAAGCCGCTATGGATGAGGTGGCCGAAGCAGAACACTGTGGAAGGAAACACTGTTTTATTGTGCTCGGTATAACATATTACACTGTACATCTAGAGAAGACGACAGGTTTTGAGCTAAAATTTGATTCATAGAATGTGCAAAATTATTTGACAAACTCAAGATACGACTGATATAGATGACAAAGATATGCCGAACAGTCGATATATTCTGAAACCATGAGTGTCCTAGGTACACAGTAAATTCTCTTCTGAGAAGATTTTTCACACCTTCTGAGAATCTTGAGACGGATATGTCAAGTGGAGCACATTTTACGTGCACGTGTTTTTTTCTTAATGACTAGAGTAGGCCTCCTTTGAGCGACTGATTTCCACTGTTTTGAAATTAATTGAACCCAAATTTGAGATCTCAGCATGAATTACTCCGGAACAAGGCAACCTCTCGAGATCAATTTACAGATATCTGAAGGATGGTAACCGTGTGAAGAGCAAGTAAACTTTGCTATATCAGTGATTATTACCACACACAGATGAACGACTGTCAAAATGAAATCACAAGATCTAAGCTGGGCCAGGATATACTTATGCATAAGAATGAATAAAACTGGTAATAGTCCAATAGAAGTTGGCCGTCAAACATTGTCATTTTCATATAATTAGAAATGTAATGATTGTCTCTTTTCAAGTTCTCTTATTTGAGTACCTTAAGTTTGTAAACAATTGGCTTTTCAAATTCATTTTCAGAACATTAGAATAGCGTACTTTATTTTGCAAGTTCAACGTTCCGTGCTCTGTTGGCCTCAACCCTTTCACGACCCCTTCGCTTGGCTTTGAATGGCCCCACCGTTAAACGTGGTAGACTAAGTATTTGGGCTTAAAATTATGACACGATGAGTTGCTCCCCATACTATGCTTTGTATTTACAAGAATTACATTCATTTTACCATTTATATACTTTACTTGTTACTTGTAAAAACACTTTTTCTTACCTACAGATCTTATGTACGTGATGTGGGAAACACATCTGTTCCAAACCGTAGTAGGCTATTCGGAACATAAAGTACGCCATTCTAATGTTTTAAAAATGAATTTTAATGCATACAACTTGATTGTCTAAAAGCTCAAGGAACTGAAATAAGAATCCCTGGAGCGCCTGGCCGCTTACCCGCGGCGCCGATCTTGAGGTAGAAGCTGCCCGAGTGGCGGCCCTGGCTGAAGCAGTAGCGGTGCTGGGAGCCGGGCCGCGAGGCCAGGCGGTGCTTGAGGTGCGCCTGCGACATGGCGATGGACAGGTGCAACTCCCCCTCGGGCGACTCACGGCATACGACCTCCTCCTTGTAGCTGCTCTCTGCGCCCACACAACGACACACCGCATTACGCCTTCGCCCAGGGCAGCAGCTCGGGCGACTAACCCGGAGGGCCAGTGCCACAGACGAGATTTTATTTTTACCTAATTTTAGTGGTTCCGATTTACTTATTTTCTAAATAACTGGATGTTAACTTGATTCAAGTTTTCTTTTTTAATTCTCTTCCCTAATTTATCTCTCATAATTCCTTCCATATGAGGACAAGTAGCATCATTCAAGTGTTTTCATATTTCCCTCGTGGGCCGCCCTCTTGGCAGCCCTGATCTACATCTAACAAGATCTTAGACCATCTGTACGTAACAGAATTTTTGTTGTGCAGGCATACAGTTTCTCCTACATATTTCTAATTTCAAGAAATTAAAATAATTTGGCGGAACTGAATCGTGACTTACCCTTGTATAATGCGTCGTTCTTCTTGATCTGACTTAAATATCGTCGTATATCTATGTACAGGAACAAGAAGTAACCAAAGCTCAGGACCACCAGGTAAATACTGAAGGACTGAAACAAATGTTCAAAGTGTATTATATTAGCATGTATAAGAAAGGTAGTTTGAAGACGAACAATGAAAATTTACTGGATAAATACTACTCGTATTAGGTAGTTAATGAAAACTTTATTGAATCTCGATCGTTTCAAAATGTACACATATTTTATATTTTTTTAATGTTAATCACAAATATTATAAAATAAGAAAATCATAATCAAAATACGAAATAAGAGACCAAACTGGAGAACAATTTCCTACTAAAATGATCTTTCAAAAATGACATTGTTCTTTCTTCAAGAGTGTTGGTTTTTATTTGTTCAAACTTTGTTTTTTCTTTTTTAATTTTAGTTCTTATTTTAATATCCGAATATGGATAACCGAAATTCCTTAACAGTCGGAAGTTGGACCATCGGTTTGAGAGTATGAACTGGTGTTTGGACTTACTTCTGCGAGTGGGGAGTTGGAAAGAATGATGTCGCTGATGTAGATCACAACCCCCAGTGTGACGATGAACACGGCGTAGATACAGCTCAGGATGGTTGTCAGGTACGACCTGGAAAACAAAAAGAGGACTAGTAGTGAACTACAACACGCACTTTTTCGCATTATTTCAAGATGCAATTTTTGAAAATTCAGTGTGTTCAACGAAAATTAGACTTGCGCCATTCTTTTCAACGTTCTTTGTTCTATCCCCGGAAACAATTTGGAGCGGGTTTTGAGAATATTTTTTAATCGCATAAATTTCAAGCCCAAATTACGCAAAAACGTCTCCTTAAAAATGAACATGACCTTTTCTAAAGATTTGAGTTTCTAGAACGAATTTTTAAAGGCAAAAATATATATCTTCAATCTTGAAGTTTTGAACAGTTAATATTTCGCGATTTTTGAAAATACAGAGAGTTTGCTGCAAATAAGATTAGCACAATTGTTTTGCAGTACTTTTATACACAAGAGAAGAACATTTAAAGAAAAAAATCTGGAACAATTTTTGAGAAATGTTAAAAAAATTGAAATTGTGTATATTTCGCGCAAAATTACATGAAAACTACTCAAATATTTGAAAATTGTACATTACCTTATTTCAAGATCTGTCTTTAAAGAACAGATTTCATTCAGGAAAATATATCTATCTTCAAAACTGTAGGTGTAGGAAGACGCCAAACAAATTCAGCGTTTTACACTAACGGAGGACAAAGTTTAATAAAAAAATTAACAACCATTTTTGAGAAAAAAATGAAAATGTTGTGGCTTCATGCAATGTACCCTTCCCCCTAAATCAAAATATCCAATTCAAACTCCATTTCATTTAATTCGATTGGGGAATTTCAATTATGGAGAAAATATGGTGAATGGTTTAGGAGCTAGCGTTGACCATTGATGGATAGATACGAGACATTTGGCCGTCAATCGATTATTCGGTGTGAAGGACCCACGAGCCGTGGATTTCGTCTACACAACGTGATAGACGAAGTAATTTACTATATGAAGGAGTAAGATTCCTCAACTTTCTCTTTACCAGGGCTTTGTAATAAATTTTTCTGTCGAAAATTCATTTTCCGGCACACGATCACAATACTTTATTATTTTTTTTGAAAGTATGAGCATGAAAATGAATATCGTAGAGTGGGATTTCTGATATTATTACTATTATAATTTTGTATTTCTTAAGATAAATTTGCGTTATTTTCTGGGCAATAAGGGCATTACGTTATCCTAATTTTCAATATCAATGATGACACACAATCATTTGACGTGAAGACTTTTACTCTCTATTGATAATTATCGCTTTGCGTCACTAAACATTCTTATTCACGTTATGACTAAATTTTCGATACTTTTTTAATATTTAGAGCTAAATGCTAAATATATATTTAAAAAACTATTTTACAATGCACAGATTAAGACACACACACACAAAGTTTCATGATAACAATAGATTGCTCATTGAACCTTGCCTGGGTGTTCGCGATAGACGCGCGCGGGCTGTGAGCTCAGTGGTTGCCTCGTCGCCGCTCGCTCACCTGAACATGCGCGCCTTCTCGTGGTCGGTGGAGGGCGGCGGGTGGGCGTCGCCGTGGGCGGC